GTGGGATGGTGGGGGGTGTGAGAGGGGTGCAGCAGGGAATCCTGAAGTCAGGGATGGGGGTTGTTTCTGTCCACACCCTGGGGTGTAGCGGGGGCTCCTGAAGTTAGGGATGGGGGTTGTCTCTGTCTGCACACTGGGGCACAGTGGGAGCTCCTGAAGTCAGGGATGGGGGTTGTCTCTGTCGGAGCACCTGGGGTGTGGCATTTCCTCACTTGGAGCCCTCACGACACTCCAGAGCCTAAGGTTTTAGAGCCTTCCTTGGGGAGGGCCTGGGTCTGTCTGACCAAGATTCTGCCTCCGACTGAGGACAGCCCGGGGCTGGGAGTGGGGCTGTGGGGCCTGTCTCAGCCTGGCCGCCAAAGTAGCCGGAATTTTCCCTCGAGGTCCAGCCCCTCTGCTCTGCCTTTTTTTTTTTAATGTCAGAAAATGAAGGAGATAGAATGAATCAATAGGTTTCAAATCTGCACAGTGGAATTTTGAAGGGTTGACGTCACCCGGAGTTGGGGGCCGACTTATGGCACTCAGCAGTAACAACAGCCTGTGGTGTGATATTGAGGTGACTTCCAGATTCTAACATTCTGAAGTAGCTACAGGGAGCCAGACATCTGAACTAGCCTCTTGTTTCCATTTTCATTGACAAAAATGTTTCTGCACCAATCAAGTCCTCTTTAAGGATTACTTATTAATGTAATGGAACTGCAGTCTTACCCAGCAGGACAGATAGGACTTTTTTTTAAAACTTCTTATTTTAATGTAATTTCAAACCTGGAGAGAAAGCTTGCAAAAATAGCGCAAAGAACTCACGTACCCTTGGTCCAGGTGCACCCACTGTTGACGTTTGGCTCTGCTTGGTTTATTCTTTTCTCTCCCTGCACACGTGTGTGTACATGTCGTTGCCGTGTGCCGTGGGTTCTGACTCATGGCGACCCTATAGCACAGAGCGGAACTGCCTCATGGGGTTTCCCAGGCTGTCATCTTTACGGGCGCAGGTCACCAGGCCTTTCTCCCAAGGAGCTACTGGGTGGGTTCCAACCGTTGTGCCCCCAGGGCTCCTTTGTGTGTGTGTGTATGTGAGTGTGTGTGTATATACGTACATACGTGCATGTTGTGTGTGTCTGTATATGTAGTGTGTATGTCATGTATGTGTGTCTGTGTACGGGTGTGTGTGTATATGTGTATGGGTGTGTATGTATGTGTGCGTGTGTCTTCTCTCTCTATTGGAGTGCCTCTGTGGTGCAAATGGTTAAGAGCTCAGCTACTAGCTGAAAGGTTGGTGGTTCGAATCCTCCCGGAGGTGTCTTGGAAGAAAGGCCTGGCCACCCGCTTCTGCAAACCCTGTGTAGCAGTTCTGCTCTGCACACGTGGGGCCGCCATGAGTTGGGGTCGACCCGACAGCAGGTGGCGTTGATGTTTTTCCCTAGGAGGGCTCCCCGAGGACTTTCTCAACTCCCTGGAGAAGACCGAGGACGACAAGTTGAAGGTCACCCTCAAGTACCCACACTACTTCCCCCTCCTGAAGAAGTGCTACGTGCCGGAGACCCGGAGGAAGGTGGAGGAGGCCTTCAACTGCCGCTGCAAGGCGGTGAGAGGGCCCCGCCCGTCCCTCGAGGGTCCTCGCCCTGGCTTTCCCCCTGCTGCCTGGGCGCCTTCAGTGAGCGGCTGGCCCCCTTCCCGCAGCACGCCCAGGCCGGCCCCTCAGACTGTCCCTGCCGTGCCTGGCTCTGCCCTCGTGGTCCACAGAGTGAGGTGTGACCCCCTGCCCAGCCCTATTCTGCAGCTCCCTAGTTGCTGCTGGGTGCCACTGAGACGAATCTGACTCATAGCAGCTCCGTGTGACAGAGCAGAGCTGCCCCGTGGGGTTTCCTAGGCTGCCATCTTTGTGGGAGCAGATCGCCAGGTCTTTGTCCCGCAGAGCTGCTAGTGGCTTTGAACCACTGGCCTTCGGTGAGCAGCCGAGTGCTTAACTGTTTGCACGTGAGGGGTCAGAGCCCCTCACTGCCCACTTCAGAAGATCACTGCTATCTGCTTTGTCATTGTTTGGGAAAATTTTCTTCTTCCCAAGATATTTATTTTTAGGGCACTTTTTATTTTGAGATCTTTATAGATTCATTTGCAGTTGTGAGAAAAAAACAGAGAGAGAGAGACCCCAGGAACACTCGATCCAGTTTCCGTCGGTGGTGGTGGTTGTTGGGTGCCATCAAGTCCATCCCGACTCGTGGTGACCCCACGTGAGAGTAGAGCTGCCCCGTAGGGTTTTCTAGACTGTATGTTTCTGGGAGCAGATCACCAGGCCATTGTCCTGTGGAGTTGCTGGCTGGGTTTCAACTGCCCATCTTTCAGTTAGCAGCCCAGTGCTTAGCCACTGTGCCACCAGGGCTTCTTCATCCACTTAGACACGAGCGCTGTTTCCGTGTCTGTCCAGGTCCTCTGCTTTCTCAGCAGCCCCCCGAGCCTTGAATCACTCTCACTTTGGGCTATGGGAGCAGAGCTTGGCTGTGCCCCCACTCCTGGCCCCTTCCTTGCGGGCTCCAGCAGGCCCCGGGCTCCTCCCGGGCCAGGACAGGGAGCCCCCGCGGTCCTGGCCACGGAGACCCAGGGGTGGGCAGAGTGGGGACCCCTTGGCCAACAGGGAGCTCTTTTGTCATCCAGGAGAACTGTGCCATCCTCAAGGAGCTGGTGGCCCTGCGGGCTCAGAAGTCCAGCCTGCTGGGGTTCAGCACGCACGCTGACTATGTCCTGGAGATGAACATGGCCAAGACCAGCCAGGTGGTGGCCACCTTCCTAGGTAAGCTCCCCTCACCTCCCCCACTGTGCGCCGTGGGGCCGGGGTGAGGCCCCACCCCAGAGTGCTCCTTGGCCGTGCCGCGGCCTTGCCCCACAGAGTCTCGCTGTGTTTGGGTTCCGTGGTGAAGTACATGCTGTGTGAGAGCGTCTGGCCCAGGGGAGAGCCTCCTCTTGTTCCCCTGTGAAGCGGAAGGTGTCCTTCCCGACCGCCCTGCTCGCTCTCGGGGGGCCTCAGTGCTGCGCTTGAGTACCGGGGCTGTGGCGTCAGGCCTGGAGAACCACCTCGCCTTCCTGAGGGCGCTGTGAGGCTTGAGCGCAGACAGGGAAGTGCTTCGCTCAGGTCCGGCCTAGTGCCAGTTCTCCGGTTACAGGCCAGCGCCCCGAGGCCCAGACACACGTAGCCTGGTGAGCCCATGATGTCGCAGCCCACTGGGGCAATGGTGGTGGTGTTGGGTGCCGTCAAGTCGATTCCGACTCACGGCAACCGCACGTGACGGACTAGAGCTGCTATGTAGGGTTTTCTAGACTGTATTTTCATGGCGGCGGATCGCCAGGCCACTGTCCCGTGGAGTCGCTGGGTGGGTTCCCACTGCCCACTTGTCAGTTAGCAGCCCAGCACTTAGCCACTGCGCCACCAGGGCTCCTTCAGCCAGTTAGACAGGAGCGCTGTTTCCGTGTCTGTCTGGGTCCTCTGTTTTCTCAGCGGCCCCCCGAGCCTTGAATCACTCTCTCTCATGCTGTGTCCACGGTGTCCCAGCCCAATGGGGCAGAGCCCACGGCCCCCTCAGTGAGCCCACGGTGTCGCAGCCCACTGGGGAAGAGCCCACGGCCCCACAGGTGCCCGGGGCAGAGCCCCCGCTGACGGTGAGCCCAGGGCTTGTCCTGAGGCTTGGCCGAGGGTGAGCCTGAGCCCCGTGGCCCGCGCAGGTGGTAGCGTCTCCTCTCCTGCCCCTTCGCAGACGAGCTGGCCCAGAAGCTGAAGCCCCTCGGGGAGCAGGAGCGTGCTGCGATCCTGGAGCTGAAGAAGGCCGAGTGTGAGCGGCGAGGCCTGCCGTACGATGCACGGATCAACGCCTGGGACATGCGCTACTACATGAACCAGGTGGAGGAGATGCGCTACAGCGTGGACCAGAACCTGCTGAAGGAGTACTTCCCCATGCAAGTGGTCACCCAGGGGCTGCTGGCCATCTACCAGGAGCTGCTGGGGCTCACCTTCGACCGCGAGGAGGGCGCCACCGTGTGGCACAAGGACGTGACGCTGTACACCGTGCGCGACTCGGCCTCCGGGCAGGTGATCGGCAAGTTCTACCTGGACCTGTACCCTCGGTGCGTGTGACGGGGCGGTGAGGGTCGGGGGCACAGCCCAGACTGGCCGCCTTCTCCCTCTCCAGCCTCAGCTTCCCGTCTGGAACGGGAAGGGTGTCGCCTGCTCCGTGGGGTGGAGGCGAGGGGCCCGTACATGCGGGTGCTCTGTAGACAGTGCTTGTCATGGGCCCACTGTGCTGCCTGGCCACCAAGCGCCTGTCAAGGCTGGGCCAGAGCCTCCTCATGGGGTGCCTGGCCCACGATGTTGAAGCTGTTTTCTGGGGAGGAGCGGGCAGGACCACAGCCGCACTCACTCACCTTCCCGAGCACCAGGCCTCCTCTTCTAGAATCAGGCTTAGAGCCGCTCAGCCTGTCCGTCTCGGCAGATGAGGACGCGGCGCCCGGAGGGGGTGGTGCACCCATGATGCGCAGGACACCCCCGACGTGGCAGGATTGGGGCAGTCCTTCCTCCTCCCACGTCCTGGTGTTCCCTGGGCCAACCAGGCCGTGGAGAAGCCTCACTGACTCAGTCTCCCCGCAGGGAAGGGAAGTACGGGCACGCGGCCTGCTTCGGCCTGCAGCCAGGCTGCCTGCGGCCGGATGGGAGCCGCCAGATCTCCATTGCCGCCATGGTGGCCAACTTCACCAAGCCCACGCCGGATGCCCCGGCTCTGCTGCAGCACGACGAGGTGGAGACCTACTTTCACGAGTTTGGCCACGTCATGCACCAGCTCTGCTCCCAGGTGGGCGCCCCTCCCCTCGGGTCCCGCGCTGCTCGGCCGCCGCCGGGGAGCCTCCTGTCCTCGTTGCTTGGCCTTGGCCTGTGGCTTGGGGGCCGCCTGAGGCCGTGGGCCGGCTGTGAGGACCCGTGGGCGCCCCCTCCCGCAGGCGGAGTTCGCCATGTTCAGCGGCACGCACGTGGAGCGGGACTTCGTGGAGGCGCCCTCGCAGATGCTGGAGAACTGGGTGTGGGAGCGCGAGCCGCTGCTGCGCATGTCCCGCCACTACCGCACAGGCGACGCCGTGCCCCCAGGGCTGCTCGACAAGCTCATCCAGTCCCGGCAGGCCAACACGGGTGCGCCCTGGAGCCCCGAGGCGGGGTGGGGGTGTCAGCCGTCCACGGGGCCTGCCCGGGCCCCCAGGAGGGAGGGTGCCGGGGTCAGCCGTCCGTGAGGCGGCCAGCCCAGGGACCCCTGCTCAGCTCTTGCGCAGCGATGAGGACATGAGGCTGGGACGGGCCATCACCGAGGCCCCGTGCTCCAGCCCGGCCTCCCACCACAAGGCACGGGGTGCAGGGGCGCGCAGGCAGGAGGAGGGCCGCCGGGCCGCGCGGGGTGTGGGGCAGCCTTTCGCTTTTCCCACGCAGGTCTCTTCAACCTGCGTCAGATCGTCCTGGCTAAGGTGGACCAGGCCCTGCACACGCAGACGGGCGCCGACCCAGCTGAGGAGTATGCCCGGCTGTGCCAGGAGATCCTCGGGGTCCCAGCCACGCCAGGTAGCCCTTTCGGGCCGGGCCCACCTTTGAATGTGGGGCCCGAAGGACAGCGGTACCCGTGGAGAGGGTCAGGGCGCCGTTTAGAGTTCCCAGAGCTGAGAGCTCGAGAGGAGGGCTGGTCTGCTCAGCCGCTGCCTCCCCGGCTGACCCCTGTGGCTGGGGCTGTGCCCCCAAGCCTGTGGCCTCATTCTTAGGTGTTCCTGTCAGCTCCCACTGGGAAGCGACGTGCTAGTCCTAGCTGGCCGCCATGTGAGTCCTCCGTGATGGACAGGCTTTGCGCTCGCCTCCGTACCCTGCCCCCACCCCATGGCTCAGCCCTGGGCGCTCATGGCAGAGTTCAGGCAGCACCTGCCATAGGAAGCCCTCCTCCAGTTCAGGGACTCTCACCTGGGGACGCTTCTGCCCCCAGGGGACACTGGGTGACGTCTGGGGACATTTGTGGGTGTCGCGACTGGGAGGTACTGCTGGCACGGAGAGGGTGGAGCCGTGCTGGACAAGGACCCAGAGCAGGGACTCTGGCCAGTCTGCCCTCACAGCCTCGTTCCCCCCACGGGGTCCGGCACACGTCTACCTTGCACGGTCTGCCTTCCAGCACAGGAGTCCCAGCTAGTGGGGCCAGGGGCCATGCGGGGGCTGCTCAGCAGGGGCCCATCTGCTGACAAGCTCTGCCTGTGCCCTGCTGGGGTCACAAGGCCCCCCGACCCTTTGCTTTCAATCAACAAGTGGATTTAGTGTCTCCCCCGACGCCAAAAGTAATGCGTGCTTTTTGAGAACCCTGGAAAATATTGAAAAGACGAGTTGTTCCGTAGCCTGGGGATGAGGGGTCAGCATCTTGGCGCATGTCCCGTGAGTATGTGTGTGTGCGTACAGACCCACGTTTGTGCAAATGCTCGGACTGATGGGTACATAACGTGACGATAGCTGGGAATATTGCACACGTGATGCTGTTCCGGTTTAATATTCCGCAAGCATTTAGGAGGATGCTTCGGAACCCGTTTTAAACGGTACCTGCCGCTGCGTGGGCATGCCCCGACTCGCAGAAGTGGCATCCAGGTGTTGTGGCAGCTGAGACGATTGCTTCAGCTGCTCTGGGGTAAACGCTGCTGGTACCCAGGTACTGGGCAAAGGCCCGTCTCCTTCGGTGAGCTGGCCGCCTGCTTCTAGACGTGTTCTTGTACCCGACCCTGCTCTCACGGGGCTGAGCCAGCGTCCCCTCACCTTCAGCCTAGAACTTTCTTCCCTCTCCCGGGTTGGGGGTCTCTCCCAGGCAAGGAGCGTGAGGGAGGGGCGGAGCTGGCGGCAGTGTGGGCCTCTCCGTGTGTCCCCCCAGGCACCAACATGCCGGCGACCTTCGGCCACCTGGCGGGAGGCTACGACGCCCAGTACTACGGCTACCTGTGGAGCGAGGTCTACTCCACGGACATGTTCCACACGCGCTTCAAGCAGGAGGGCGTCCTCAACAGCAAGGTCAGGCGCCGCGCCCCGTCCCCCTCCTCACCCCGCTGCAGGACGGGCCCCGTCCCCCTCCTCACCCCACTGCAGGATGGGCCGCACCGGGGCCAAGGGCTCACCGGGAAGGGGTCAGGGCTCCTTGGGATGGTCCTCCCTGCTGTCCGTGACGGAGAGCAGCCCGTCCATAGCCTCTGGCCTGAGTGCAGCCAGTGCGTGGGGGGGCGGGGGATGGGGCACTGGTCCCTACCACGTGCAGGGCTCCGTGAGGTCCCTTGTCCAGACTCACTGACCACTTAGCAGAGGGGCGGGGTCTGTTTCAGGCAGAACTGGGCTGGCCCCTTTCTTGCCCTCCTTCCCTGTCTGGGTCTGGGGTTGGCCTGGGGGCTCAGGCTTCCGTGCAGGCTGAGAGCCACCGAGGAGCTTCTGATGGGTGTTGGTCTGTACACACACACTGCACATATGTACATGCACATGTTCAGCACACACGTGCACATACATGCACTCTGTTCCTCTTCCCCGCCCCCTTTCTCTGGGACCTGACCCGGGATCCCCTGCCCCCACGAAGCTGACCTGGGTTGCTCTCCGGCAGGGGAGGGGTGTGGCTGCAGCAGCCCTCGGGGTGGGGTGTTGGCGTCCCGGGGGTCGTCTGCCAGCCCCACCTCCCCTTCTCCACAGGTGGGCATGGACTACCGGAGCTGTATCCTGAGACCTGGGGGCTCCCAGGACGCCAGTGCCATGTTGAAGTGCTTCCTGGGTCGTGAGCCCAGGCAGGACGCCTTCCTTCTGAGCAAAGGGCTGCTGGTGGAGGGCAGCGAGCCGCCGGCCTGCTGACGGTGCCTGCTCTCTGTGCTCTGAGCTCAGCGCCGCCGCCACCCCGGGCCCTGTTCTGAGCTCCCAGACTGGCCTCGGGCGCTCGGCGCCTGGCGGGGTCGGAGGAGGGGCTCTTCTCTGCAGCTGTCCTACCTGGGCTCCACCGTCCCCTACCCTGCAGCCAGCCTGGCTCAGAAGGACTTTGCCCTGCAGACGTCCGGAGAGCCCGTGGCCTCCTCTCTCGCACTGACCTTCCGCTCCCCAGAGCTCTCATTAAATGGGGGTGACGGGGAGGTCCCCGCGCCCGTGCCCCTGCCTTTTCTATCACAGACCGATTCCCGTGGGCTGTTACAGCAGAACCACGCCCTGGTGTTTCTATTAAACCCGTAATTTTGTTGGAGATCACACCTGAGTTTCCACCTGCCTGCAGCGCCAGGTACCTGGCTGCCACGTGCTCCCAGTTCTGGCGCCTCGGCTCTTGAGGAGGAGCCCGGGACCTGGCTTTTCTGTGTGTCTCACCTGCGTGGTTTCGGGAAAGTCCCCTCCGGCCCTGTTCGGCTCTGGCCAGCCAGGGGCCAGGCTGGGCCCCTCAGAGGCTCCAGAAATCCAGGGTGCCCATTGGAGACCCCAGTGGCTGAGCAGGCGGGTGCAGCCGCCCTGTCGCCTTCCCAGGCGTGAGTGTCTTTCCTCTGCCCGGGCGCCAGGAAGGAAGCCCCCCCACCCTCATCGTGCTTTCAGGGCCGGAGTCGGGGGATTTAGAGCCGACCTGCCTGTGCTGCTGGTGGGCGTGTGGCTCCGGGCCTTCCCTGCCTGTGTGGCCGCAGAGAGCCCCGGGGGGCCCCGTCTGCACCGAGGGCGGGCCCCTGCCTTCTCTGGTCCCTCTTCACAGCCGCCTTGGTGACGTGTCTTTGTTGTGGTAGAAATTGTTGTGAGGAGCTGTGGGGTCAGTTCAGTCTCATAGCGACCCTGTGTACAACAGAACGAAACACTGCCCGGTCCCGCGCCATCCTCACGATTGTTGCTATGCGTGAGCCCATGGTTGCAGCCACTGTGTCAGTCCATCTCGTTGAGGGTCTTCCTCCTTTTCTCTGATTCTCTATTTTACCAAGCATGATGACCTTCTCCAGGGACTGGTCCCTCCTGATGACGTGTTCAAACTACATGAGACATAGTCTTGCCATCCTTGCTTCTAAGGAGCACTCTGGCTGTCCTTCTCCCAAGACAGATTTGTTCGTTCTTCTGGCAGTCCACGGTATATTTAATATTCTTCGCCAACACTGTCATTCAAAGGCGTCGTTTTTCTACGGTCTTCCTTACTCGTCCAGCTTGCACGTGTATACGAGGTGATTGAGAGTACCGTGGCTTGGGTCAGGTGCACCTTAGTGTCAAGGTGACGTGTGCTTTTGAGCCTGTTGGCCCTTGTCGCATTGATCTGAATGATCCGATGTTTTCTCCCTGGTTCTGAGCGCCCCAGGAGCCCGCCTCCCACCTCACTCCCTTCGCCGTGGTCGGCAGAACCGGTTGTCAGGGCCCAGGCAGGCCTGTGCCCACTTCAGGACAGGACTTCTGGGGCCGTGCTGTGTCCCCCGCCCAGCCTTGTGCGGGCCAGCCCTAAGGTGCAGAGCCTGTGTGTCGTAATGTCTGGGGACAAGGGGACAAGGCTTCCCTCCGGTCCTGGCCTGGGAGGTTACGGGAGGAGGCAGGACTGGACCTCACGATCCTGAGATCGCTGCGGGGAGGGAGGCCCAGCGGGGCAGGAGGTGGGCCGGGCGCCGCTCGGCCCGGGCAGGTGGGTCACAGCTGGGGTGTGGGCTGCGGGGCCCTAGTGTCCAGGCGGCGGCTGGGAGGATGCAGACCCTCAGGGCCCCCCTCCCCTGCCAACCTCCTTTCTTGGGTCCAGGGTCCAGACTGGCCACTGTCCCCCTCACCACCCTCATGTGACTCAGGGTTTGGCACGTGGCTCCCCGGGAACCATGTCCCAGGGTGGAGGCCTCCCCACCATGCCCGGCCCCTGTGTTCTGCCTCTCTGGTATGAGGGGCTTGGAGGTGCAGGGTCCGGGTCAGGGCCGTGTGCCCGTGGAGGCTGTCAGCTCTCAGGCCCCCAGGAAGGCACGAGAGGCCCAGGCCCCTGGCCCTGCTGAGACTGCCGGCAGCCAGGTCGCCACTCCCCGTCCACGCGTCGGCCTGCGTCCCACCACCTGGGAGTGTCAGTCCCTGAAACCAAACCCTGATGGCTCAGATCCCAGGGACAGGCCATGTGCCCGGGGCAGGAAGGGGACAGTATACCTGTCCCCCGCTGTCACTGCTTCTGAAGCTGTGACACTGCCATCACCCTGTGGCAAACTGGGAGCAGGGAGGGGAGCTTCAGCCTGCGGGGTGGTGGTGGTGTCTGTCAGACCCCGTCTCCCCCGCTACCCCAGGTCTTAACTAGAGGACCCCCGCCGGTCCTGGTCGTTCTCCCTCCCCACCTCCGGAAATGCAGAATAAAAGGAAAAGAGACAATGGCGTTTGCCGCACTTTGTACGTTTCTGTGTAAACTTGGCGTATTGGTTTTCACTCTGCAGCAGCGTTTGTTGTGGTGAAGTCTGTCTAAGCAAACCTTTGCCGTTCCCGCCATTTTCACGTGTACGGTCCAGTGACGCTGGTTACGCTCACCATGTGGTGCAGCCGTCACCGCTGTCCATTTCCAAATCTCTGTCACCCTGAACAGAAACTCAGGGAGCCCTGGTGGCGCAGCGGTTAAGCGCTCAGCTGCTAACCGGAAGGTTGGTGGTTGGAACCCACCCAGTGGCTCTGCGGGAGAAAGACCTGGTAGTCTGCTCCCGTAAAGATCACAGCCTAGGAAATCCTGTGGGGCAGTTCTGCTCTGTCACGTGGGGTGGATATGAATTATGAGTCGGGGTCTACGCGACAGCACCCAACAACAGCAGAGTCAGCGCCCCTCGGCAGCGCTGCCCTGGTGTCTCCACGAACTTGGCTGTTGCAGACGTTGCGTATCAGTGGGACCAGACTCTGGTGTTTTGGGTCTGGCTTCTCACCGAGCATCAGGTCCATCGTTGACAGGGTGTTTCTCCAGCTCTGTTGGGGTTGGGCAGTGGGCAGTGTCCCTGACTGCCTCCAGCAGGTGGCCCTGTCAATGGGAGGGGCTAAGGGGAGCTGCCAGAGGGCTGTAACGGAGGGCTGTAATGGGCGTGCCGACAACAGGTGTGCTGTGGGCCAGGCATTTTGCACAGCTTCATCGTCACCTGCCCTGTGGGCTTGGTGTGATTGTCTGGGTGGTCCACACGGGGCCTCAGCGCTGAAGAAGGGGCCTCTAGTTGAGGGAACAAAGGGCGTTGCCTCATGAGACTTAGGTTCCATTCCGAGTCCCTGGGTGGTACAATGGTGCACACCTTAGCTGCTGACCAAAAGGTTGGAGGCTAGGAAGAAAGGCCTGGCAATCTACTCCCGAAAGCTCAGCCACTGAAAACCCTGCAGAGCACTGTTCTACTTCAGCATGTGGGGTTGCTGTGAGTCCGAGTGGACAGCAACTGCTACCGGTAGGTAGGTCCAGTGCGGGTTCTGGTGGACAGCTTGGGGAGGGGGTTGAGCCCTGGGCTGGGAGGCCGGAGGGCCAGGTTCAAGTCTCAGCTTTGCACTGCTGGGTAGAGGGGGGCCACACACGAGTCAGGGCGAGGTGGGAGCTACAGTGTGTCCCTTGCAACCCCAAAAACTCTGTCCCTGAGCACGTGCCCGCTGACCCCACCTGAGAACCAGGAGCTGATGTTGCGCCTGTCCCAACAGACCGCCCTCCTGGAGGCGCCGAGGGCTGGCTGCGGCTGCCCCTGGGGGCTTGCCCGTCCCAGTTGGGGGTGCCGAGGTAATCGAGGCTGTACAGGGGCCCAGAGAAAGGGCGGTGTTCTGAGTGAGGCCTGGGTGCCAGGTCAGGGAAGGGAAGGAAGGACTTGTCCACCTAGAGCGGGGCTCCTGGGCCCTCACCTGGGAAGACTTTTGTCCAAGGATCTCAGAACAACGGACAGGGAATGAATGAATCTATCGGTCAGATCCGCACTTGTGGGCAGTGTTTCTTTGCGATGTGCGTGGGGTTGTCATGAGTCGGGCCTGCTGGACAGCAGTGAACAACATTTATCTATCTTCATCGAGGTAAAGTTGACAAACCGCACGTATTTTACAGCATACGATTTAATAAGTTTTGACACGTCTGCATACGCGTGACACCATCGCCACAATCAACATAGCGAACTTGTTCATCTCTCCCACAGTCTCCCTGGGACTCTGTAATCCGTCCCTCCCACCCCTCCCCCGCCCTCTCTCCCCAGGCCACATGGACCTGCTTTCTGTCACTATAGATTGATTTCCGTTTTCTAAAGTTTTCCAGGAGCAGAATCGCAGCACTGAATCTATTACCTACTCACCTGTGCACTTCCTGCGCTCAGCCTACGCCCCCCGCCCCCACTGTGGCCCAGGAGACCACCACCCCTTGCCGACAAGTCGATTCTGACTCCTGGCGACCCCATGTTGCAGATTACAACTGCTTCATAGGGTTTTCAAGGCTGTGACCTTTTGGACGCGGATAGTCAGGACTTTCTCTCGAGGTGCCTCTGGGTGGATTTCAACCACCAACCTTTTGGGACTGCTGTGGCCTGAGAGCTGGATCGATCGTAAACCCAAAACCAAACCCCTTGCTGTTGAGTTGATTCCAGCTCATAGCGACCCTGTAGGACAGAGTAGAACTGCCCCACAGGGTTTCCAAGGCTGTGATCTTTACGGAAGCAGACGGCCACATCTTTCTCCTGCAGAGTAGCTGGTGGGTTCGAACCTCCGACCTCTCGGTTAGCAGCCAAGCGCTTTAACCACTGCACCACCATGGCTCCTCCAGCTCAGCGTTAGTTGGTTTGATTCAGCATCCCCCTCACTGAGCCAATTGCCAACCCTAGGAACCACCCCATGAATATGTGCAGATTTAGTGAACTGACTCCCTGTGGACAGCAGGTGGCAGGACCTCACCACATTCTAGGCATTCCCAGGCTGGCTCCTAAGAATGTTCCAGGTAAGATACCTGGATG